AAAAAAAAAAAAAAAACCAACAAAAAGTATATATCAAGCCTGTACTGACATGCCTGGCTCCTAAGCATGCCTTAGTTTCTTCCCCATAAATGTTTTCATTATCATTCAGTTTATAACTTTCTGGTTTTCTTTGAATAATCAATCGCACAAAAGTATGCTTCATTTCTAAATATTTTGGGAATTTTCCAATATTTTGTTATTTTAAATTCCAATTCCATAAAGGTCAGATTTAATCCTTTTAAATTTTTTGAGACTTGTTTTATCAGCCAGACTGTAGTGATGGCAATGGATATTTCCAGAGCTCTCGAAGAGAATGTGTACTCTGCTGGTGGTGGGTCTAGCCTTCTAAAAGTCAGTGGGATAGCTCATGTCTTCTATATCATGATAGGTTTCCTATCTACTGTTAATGAAAAAAACTTGAAATCTTTGAACGAACATCCCCATGGCCCTACACCTTTCATCTTTTCTGTTAGTTCCTGCCTACACGATAGGATTGTGACATCCTCGGATCTGTTCATCCTTTGGCATTATGCAATGCTTTCCATCCCTGTATTTGACCTGAAGTCTACTTGTCTGGTAGTACTATACCCACCACACAGCTTCCTTGTTGTCCTGCATGCTTTTCTATCTGTTCACTTTCAACCTCTCTTTTTGTGTCTAGATTCAGAAATTAAAGATGCATGATCAGTGTTGAGATGGCTCAGCAGGTAGAGGCAGATACTCTGGCTGCCAAGTCTAAGGACCGGACTTTGACCAACATGGAGAGAACCAACTCCCGATTGTCATACTCATAAAATAAATGTAAATGAAGGTGTCAGCCCCACGTTTTAATGAGGTCCTTTATTCTTTTGTTTGTGTTTGTATGCTTGTTTTGAGACAGGCTCTCACTATGTAGCCTAGGCTGCCTTAGAGCCCACTCTGTAGACCAGGCTGGCCTCAAACTCAGAGATCTGCCTGCCTCAGCCCAAGTGCTGGGGTTTTTTGTTTATTTGTTTTGTTTTGATTTGATTTAATTTTTGAGATGGAGTTTCTCTTTGTCGCCCTGGCTATCCTGGAACTTGCTCTGTGGGGTCTTCTTTCTTACCCGCTTGTTTTCTTCGCTTTAGAGGAGATGCTTGGCCATTTCTCTAAAGCAGATTTCTCTTTGTGACTCCACTGCCTACCGTTTCTCTGTCCCTCTTCCTCCCTTTTTCTCTCTTTCCTTAGCCCTCCTCACTTCTGAGATAGGGCTTCACTTTGTAATTTGGGTTGTAATTTACTACATAGTCCAGGCTGCCCTGGAACTCAAATCTTCCTGCATTTGCTTCCTGAGTATGGCTTCATGCCCAGCTTTAGTCTAGTGCTTCTCAACCTTCCTAATGCTGTTTCCTTTTAATATAGTTCCTCATGTTGTAGTGACCCCCAACCATAAAATTGCTTTTGTTGCTACTTCATAACTGTAATTTAGCTACTGTCATGAATAGTAATGTAAACCTGGTATGCAGGCTATCTGTATGTGTCTGTGTGTCTGTCCTTTCTTCATCCCCTCGTTGCCCCAGTTAGGTCAGTCCTTGAAGCCATGCAGAGCTCAGCGCCACACAAGCTTGAGGACCAGAGTTTGGGTCCTCAGAACCCACATAAATGCTGCGTGGGCCTGGTGTACCTGTAATTCTAGCGCTCATATCAGGCTTACTAGCCAGACTAACGGTGTTGGTGAGCTGTGGGTTTAATTGTGAGACCCTGTCTCAATGAATATGACAGAAGATTCTCCATATTAACCCGGGCCTCCACACACATGTATGCACTTGTCTGTGCATCCACACATGTGCAAACACACACCACACCACACATATTTGGGAAAAAAAAGTCTGTCCAAAGGCTAGCAAGATGGTTCAGCCAGTAAAAGTGCTTGCTGCCCAAGCATGACAGTCTGAGTTCAATCCCTGGATCCATGGTGGAAGCAGAGACCTGACTCCTGAAATGTCCTCTCTTTCACCTCTACATATGTGCTGTGACACCTGCACTCTCATACCCACCCAATATAATAAAATAAAGTTGAAAGTTCTATGTTCAAGTCTCTGCTTTCAGTTCTGTGCAATCTACCCAGAAATATAATTGCTATGTTTTAGACTAATTCTGTTTTTAATTTCTTGAGTAGTTATTCTGCTATTTCCAAAGCTCCACACCTATTGGAGGAGCTAACAGTTGATGGCTGTCAAGGGAGGGGGAGTTACCACTGTAGATGGTTCATGCCTCAGTGGATGGCCACATACCCATATCACTAATTGGATTCAGGGGCTTAAAAGTAATTATATAAATACACGTACATATATATGCATATACATAATATGAACATCACTGTGTAATCAAAGATGCCCTTGAATGTATGATCCTTCTGCCTCAGTCTCCTGTCTGCTACCACACCTAGCTTCTACCTTCTCTTGTTTACACTCAGATCTACCACCTGCCTTTGCCTCCCAAGTGCTGAGATTTAAGATGTGCACCACTATGCCTTGTCTTACTTATGTCCTCTTGATGTGTTGAAAATATTTTGTGTTTGTACAATAGGTGTGTGCACTCGTGTGCATATGCATGTGTGTGTGTGTGTGTGTGTGTGTGTGTATTCAGTGCATGTGTGCTGTAGTGTGCATGTGGACGTCAGACAACCTTGGGTGTTGGTCTTCATGCTCCACATTGTTTTAAGATAGGGTCTCTTTGTTCTTCCATTGCATGCATAGCTGGCCTGCAGGAGTCTGGAGACTGTCTTGACTCTGCCTTCCATCTCCCCACAGGAGACCTGGGATTACAGATGCGCATGCTACATGTCAGGATTTTATGTGGCTTCCAGGGATTTGAACCCTGGTTCTCATGCTTGTATTACCAAGCACTTTCACCCAGTAAAACCCTCTCCCTAGCACGTGTTCAAATTTTACCAACATTCCAATGTAGTCCTTTGTAACCTT